GCACGCCACACCTGGAATCGTACAGTAAGTTTCGACCCGCTTTAAATTGGACTGGCGGGAGTCCGCCTCGCGACAGCTCGCGCTGTTTCGCAGTTACAGTATATCCTGTCGTGCTGAGAACCCATGTCTGCGCCTCTTCAATCTCCTTAGTCTTTGCTCGGAATGCCAGCGCTATGCGCTCGCGAAGCCTCCAGCGATGCGCATGCGCTGCTCTATGTAGAATGTCTCGCCTAATCCGGGATGAAACCGACTGTACTGAGCGGTCGGATTGAAATATTCACCAGTCATAGTAAAAGTCAAACGTTTTTTCAGTAAGCAGGACGGAGAAAGCTTACCAAGCGTAACAATTATCATTTCCATGATCGCAAGTCAAACTTTAGTGGAACAAAATCTAGCGTACTCTAAGTTTTCCAGATTTTGAGCCATCTGAGAAAATGCTTTTTTTCGAGCCGGATTACCATTTGAATATAAGCTCAGATAATCTCCAGAGGCAGGCGGTTTGCAAACTCGCGCTTTTCTGCAAGCGGTAAGCAAAATTTTGGGATGTGGCCAAACCTTCAGCGAGCGGTACTTCCGTGTTCTGTGCCAGCAGGCAGCGATACGAAATTTTCTGCAAGCGGTCGTCAAATAATCTCTTTCAGCGAGCGGCCAAACTTTCAGCAGGCACTCAGACTCTTTTTGCGCAGTTTCGGGCATACGCCGAGCAAAGGTGAGACTCTGTGTGGCAGAGGTATCATCGCTTTTTGATTACTCTTTGCTTGTTTAATTGTCTAAGGGCACTTTGCTGCAAGCAGGGGCCATGAGACAGACTCCACCGAGCATCTGCACCGATTCATACACGGTCTGACAGGCTTTACCACTTTCTACTTTCAACACGGTGCTGGACTTGAGCTTTTGCGGGTGTTTTGTTATTTTCTTATTACTCAAGCTCTAAATATTTTTCGTTCTCTGTTCCAAGTATGGCACGCCTTGTGCGTACCGAATAAATAAATAAATAAATAAACAACCCAAGTTTGGGATACTTCCTCTCTGCAGAAGGTGCCTGCGGGCTGTGCAGTTCTCCATAAAGGACCCTGCGGCCCCCTTCAATTTTGCATATTCTCGCGGAAAGTCCGCGAGAAGGCGGTTACTGCGCCGCAATTTATACATAGAATGACCGCGATAGTTCTCCGAGCAGCATTCGTCAAAAAATTGGCCAACATTCTTCCAAATTTCTGCAAGCGGAGAGCAAGAAATCAGCGAATTATTTTTCCGGTGGCCGCTCCAAAAATCGCATGGCCGCCTGCCCCAGGCGATTATCTGAGAAGGTAGGTGCTAGACTTGTCCGGTTCAATCGATTCGTTTTGTCCACCCATTTGCTATTGGCCAGATCACTGAACTGGTTAATAATGGTGTGAGCACGACGAATCGGTTGAACCGGATCAGTCTGACATCTATCTAGATCAGCTCGTATTTCTGCACTCAATACGAAGCATTATTCTCTCTGAGCACACAAGAACAACTCCACGTCAAATAACCTCTATCAAAAATCATAACTTCTTTTTGACTCAGTCGTTTTTTCAAACTGTAATGAAATAGGAAACCATTCTCTTTACAACGGTACCTTTGCCATGAACAGACATGAGAAAGTTTAACAGTAAGAGTTGAAAGCGCCGGGTCACGAAAAATTCCGCAAGTAATAGCTTTTAGTATATAGTTTTTATTTGAACGAGAAGATTTTGCACGTTATAGTGGCACCTTCCCCATAAATAAATATGCGATAGTTTGAAACTTAGAAGCAAATGAAGAAAATTACTTCAGTTTCGCAATTTTTGAGCATGCTCAAAAAAGCCTGAAAACATCACAGCAAAGACCGGAACTGCTAACATGAGTTTTATGGCCTTCTTCCTAGCTGAGCGCGTTTCGTGCTAACCGAGAGCAGTTTTGCAATGCAGGCACGATGACCCGAAAAATACACGAAAATCATATCTGCTCTCGAATTGGCACGGATTTTGCTCTGCTAGAAAGGAAAGCTCATAAAATTATGTCTGTAACTGTTTCGATCTCTGCTGCGATGTCTGAAGCCTTTTTGAGCGTGCTCAGACATTAATAAATTAAAGTGATTCTCTTCATTTGCTTCTAACTTTCAAAGTATCTCGTATTAATCCATGGGGAAGGTGCCACTGTAATGTGCTTAATTTTCTTGTCTAAACAAAAACTATATACTAAAAGCTATATACTTGCAGAATTTTTCGTGATCCGGCGCTTTTAACTATACTGCTGAACTTCTTCATGTCCATTCATAGAGGCACAGTTGTAAAGAGAATGTTCTCCTCATTCAGATGAATATAATTTCAAACAAATTCATTGATTCCAAAGAAAGATATGATTTTCAAAAAAACTGGCGAACGGACTTTTGCACCCACCTAATATATATTTTTGCCAGCTTTTTTTTTACAATACGTAGGTTAAGCTTCTACCGTAACCGGAATTGTCCATTTAAAGGTTTGGGAACACGCTATGTCTTGTTCTGGAAGTAAGCGTTTCGATTGAAATTCCTGAAGTGGGAATAAGGCTTAGCGATGTGGATGATATCGAAAATCCGGGTATACAATTGCTTTGAGCTGATGAGGTGTGGCACAACCTCCAAAAAGGTGCGGCATCCACACATATTATTGGGGGGTGGGGAAGTGTGAGAGATATTTCACGCAGAAAAATGATACTCACTATGCTCGATAGCGCCTCTTTCTCATGCAACACGGTGGATAGACAGTAATTTGGAGAGATCTTCTCGAGAGCAATCAAAGGTGGAGGTTATAGTATTCTGGTGGTCGTGCGCCGCGCCTCTTGCTCAACACTCCTTACTAGTATGGGGTGTTGACTTAGGCAGTAAGCGGACATGAAGGTAAGAGTTGACTGCGTATAAAATAGCCGTTCGTAGAAATATACATTACTTTTGTCGATTTCATCAAACTTCCTAATTCTATTCTACTTGACTGGAATTGGTACAAAGGAAAGAAAGAGAGGTGATTAGGTGAGCAATCGTGCAGATATTTGGGCGGGAATTTGGCATATGGAAGTGAGACACCTATGGGAATTGGGTAGAAGTGAAAGGGAATGATAAGTTCTATCACTATCATGTTATCTTGGTAGGGATCAAGTGAATCCGGGTATACTAGCGTGTCTCAGACATTCCCCTTTTTCTTATTGAGAAGAATTTGCTTCATTCCTTCATATAATATTAACACGTTTCAGACCGCGAAATCGCGCGCGGCGAAAAAGTGTGTGCTTTCAGCCGTTAGCCAACAAAGGGGCCTTACTTCAAGACTGTGTGCTACATCTGTAATCAGCATGTTATATAAGCTCCATACCCAAAGTTCTGAGTGAATCCGAAGTGTTTGAATTTTGTCGCTCGAGAAGGACTTTTGTGCTTTCTTGAAAGACAGGAACAAGAACTCAGTTTATAATACAGTATGTAGTATCCAATAGTATCTATGTTGTACACGCTACACATCATTATTGAAACTTCGGTTTTTCTCTTCGAAATAGGAGCAAAGAAAAGTTGCGACGTCGCATTCGCGTTGCCGCACTTCGTTGCAACTGTTGTTCGATTTGTCCTCATCTTATATATAAAGCTAAATGTCTGTTTGTATGTATGTATGTATGTCTGTCTGTATGTATGTATGTGTGTACGTATGTTCCGAATAGAAAATTCCATTTCTGAACCGATCCGGACCAAACTTGGCACACATACACTACGGGCCCCGGCGGGTGTCATAGGCTACTTTTCGTCATCGATCGATATCGATTTTATCGATTTTTATCGATTTTTTTGCTGAGTTCACCTACGGGGCTGGGAGTTGGCACAGGGGGGTAATCGAGCATGGGGATTCCGAATACAATATTGGTCTTCAGGATTATCGATTACTTTTATCGATTTTATCGATTTTTTTGCAAAGTTTGAGCTACGGGGCTGGGAGTTGGCACAGGGGGGTAATCGAGCATGGGGATTCCGAATACAATATTGGTTTTCGGGATTATCGATTACTTTTATCGATTTTATCGATTTTTTGCAAAGTTGGAGCTAGGGGGCTGGGAGTTGGCACAGGGGGGTATTCGAGCATGCTGATCATCCCCAAGGGGGGTGATCAGCATGCTCGATTACACCCCTGTGCCAAATTCCAGCCCCCTAGCTCAAATTTTCAAAAAATCGATAAAATCGATAAAAGTAATGGACGATCTTGAAAACTAATATTGTAATCGTAATCAGCATGCTCGATTACCCCACTGTGCAAACTCCCAGCCCCGCAGGTCAAACTTTACAAAAAAATCGATAAAATCGATAAAAGTAATGGACGATCCTGGAAACTAATATTGTGTTCGTAATCAGCATGCTCGATTACCCCCCTGTGTAAAATCTCAGCCTCGCATGTCAAAATTTACAAAAAATCGAGAAAATCAATAAAAGTAACCGATAATTCTGAAAACTAATATTGTATTCAGAATTCCCATGCTCACTTCCCCCCTGTGCCAACTCCTAGCCCTGTAGGTGAACTCTGCGAAAAAATCGATAAAAATCGGTAAAATCGACATCGATCGATAACGAAAAGTGGACTGTGACACCCGCCGGGGCCCGAAGTGTATGTGTGCCAAGTTTGGTCCGGATACGGCGGAGCCGGGTAAGCCAGCTAGTATCTTCTAAACAAATATAGCGGCACAGCTCTGCAGAGCCATTTGAAAAGGAGGAGCTTAGGCCTTTGACTTGATAATCTTGGACAAAAAGAAATCCTCCTGTAAACGTGAAAAAGATCCTTCAAAGTCGCGTGCTGCACCATATGCAGCGCCGGTCCGAAACGTGTTAACATCGCGTGAAATTACATATGTTTAAGCATTTTAATAAAATGATTCATTTTGCAACGGTCTCACACTCATATTTTTATAGTGTCGGAGCATTACCCTAGGTATAATTCATAGTCGTACAGGAGAGTACGTATGCAATTATCTAGCATGTCCTGTAGCCTGCGAATATGTAGGGTTTATTCAGAGAATTCGCCCTGTTTCTTATAACAAGAGAGATTGAGACACTTTGTTCCTCAAGACTGATTACTCCACTTTCTTCAGCTTTGATTCTTCTTGCAACTCCTCTCGAACATCGTCTTTTATCTGCAAACAGTTAATACAAAAGCTTACATGGAGAAAAGTAATAAGCTCAAGGTCATGCAGGTAGCTTGATTTTCTTCACTACGTGGGTTTCGTGAAACGCGAAAGGGGCTACAAATAAATAAGTGTAAGTTTATCCGAAAGCTCTTGGAATGCTTTTGCAAATATTTTTTGAATTGCAAATTATATGAACCTCACTGCATAATAGGGCTCAAGACGCGTTGGCATTACTGCGCAGAGTATAGAAAGGCGAATCAAATGAACATAAAAGGAAATTAGTTTGTGATGCAAATAATATTATGGCCATTCAGGTAAGAAACAGCATCATGAGATCGTGGTTGCATAACATTGCAATAAGTCTAGTCCAAAACTAACAGTCGCCCTAATTTCACGAGTACAGGAGGCACTTGTTTTTTTCTAAATATGACCAGCCTGGACACACGAAAATATTTCGCCTCAGACAAATCACCGGAACTCCCGCAGAACGCTTGCGGAAGTCGCCGGGTCACCTGCGGAAGTTTCGTAAACGTGCTGCGGAAGTTCTGAAATGAGGTCCTGTGGAAGTTCCGAAGAATGCCGATAATGCCTGTTCGATAATGCACTCTAGTTGTTGGCGAGGCAACATCACGAGACAGCACATTTAAAGTCCTGCGGAAGTTCTGGCTGGCCAGAGTGCTGCGAACCTCTGGCATTTTTCGGAATTTCCGCAGGATTTTGAAGAAGGTTCTGCGAAAAATCCGGTTTTCAACCAGTTTGGCATGAAAATCCCGCGGAATTTCCGGTTTTCAACGTTTTCATTTTTGCAATAATGAACAAAATCCTGCGGAACTTCCGCAAATTTGGCTTGTCCTGCGGAAGTTTCGGTGATTTGTCTGAGAGGGTACTTTGATTTTTCTAAAGATGTTTCGTATCCACATATCGCTGATGCAGTGCAAGTGTATATTGCTAAATATCGCAAGCAATTGAATCATTTAAAAGTTTCGAATTTTTCAAATACTCACATAGCGACCACATATCTGAAAAGGGCATTTACTTATTTGAGTAGACGAACACTCGATCATATCATATCTCAAGATTTAGAAAAATCTATTAACGGCCATGCAGGTTTTTAGTTGCCTGTTTTCTGGGACCAGGCTTTTCACGGACCACCCAACATTTTCCAAATAAGTTACGCATAGCCGTCTATAGTAACCTACAGATGTTTTGAAAGACTGGCAAAAATGATAGAACTTATCTCTAGATTTAGCGCAAAAGAAAAAAATGCAATTATTGAAAATCGTGCAGCAGTCGCAATGTGTCAATATTTTGAGAGTCAAAAAATGCAATTGTTTTCTGCTTTTTTTCTGCTTTCTCTTAAATATGAATATTAAATATTCTCGCTTGCCGTCGCGGTACAGATATGACTGTATTTAGTCAGAGGTCATATCTAACCTCTGATATTACAATCTGATATTACATAATGAAGCCTCTAACAATCTTCGATTGCACTGGAATGTGTAAAGTACAAAGTAGTACAAAGACTTACCTCTTTATTCTTCCCACACTTTTGCATACTCTGATAGATTACATAGATAACATAAGCGTTAGCAAAACAGAACGAGAGTAGCACGACCAGGTAGAACATCAGGTCATTAGAAATGATATCAGTCGATAGGATAAGCTGATATGCTGCGAATATAAACGCGTCAACCTGTTTTGCAGCTGGAGAAGCAGTTCTAGGCGGCTATTCAAGGCAAATATTCGGAGTCTATAGCTCCTTCATAGCTATCGATTTTGTCCCACTTGGTGTTGAGTCTCTTCGAGCCGAAGATGAAAAAGCAGCTTGGCCGAGCGTGTGCTTGAGTCAGCTGAAGTGATGACATTCAACGACTTGATAAGGTATCTCAAGCTGGAGAAGATAAGTTCGTTGTTTTTCGGAAATTTACTGCCATGCAGGTGCAACTCACCTTGTTCCTAGTGTTCGCTTTATTCAAAATGTCAGATACATGTCCATACGGAGGGATTACCGCTTATCATATAAATCAGTGCTATGTATACTCGGGGTAAGTTCTCTTTTTATAACCTACATTGGCGCACATTTTAAAATTAACCTCTACGCTTGTGTATTTAAAACATAGTAGCGTTCAATAATTTTTCAAATTTTTCTATTTGAAATCTCGAAGAAAGCGTCATGCTACTTGGTTGTTACTTCGTTTTCACATAAATGTCATAGGCCCCTGCTTGATGTCTCAACAGCACGAGCAGGTGGCTGTCATAGGACTTCTTTTCGAGGGCTAAGCGGAAGGGGGAGCCATGAAAATTTTCTTGCGGGCCCATGATCTATTTTGAAAAATGAGCACGTGGCCGTAGCCACGTTCCCGAAGAAAAATTTACAAAGCAGATTTGCATTTTTGAAATATTCTAGAAATTATTTTAATTACTTAGAAGTATAAAAAAGTCATTTGCACTCCCATGAACCTCATTTGCTCTCAAGTATCCTAAATCCATAGAAAATTCGTTTATAGCTGTTACGTTTTTGAGTGCTAGAAAACCAGCGAAATCTGCAGTTTGCAATTTCGATTTGTAGAATCTGCAAAACTACGGTTTGCAATTTCAGTTTTATTTATACGAAAATTCCCGAGTAGAGCAAATTTTTTCAGTGAAACTACAAAAAGCGGCCTGTTGTTAAAAATATGAGCAAGAGGGCTTGAAAAATTCAGATTGCAAATCAGAAATGAAAATCTTCAGCTATCCCGGCTTCTCCAATAGTTTTATGTAAAATCAGTCTGCTCTCAGCTTGCATCCCTTTCTTAAGCTCAATCTCAACGATTTTAAGAGGAAATCATTCGAAAGTGAAATTAGGAAAGTAACATCATCAAATGAAGATAACTAAGTGTATCCACAGCCTCAAAACAACGTGGGTCAATGCTGAGAACATTTGCCAATACCTCGGTGGCCACTTAATATCAATTCAGTCAGACGAGGAAAACAGCTACGTAACTCGTATGCTTCATTGTGAGTATCGTCAACTATTTCTTTGCACTTTGGTTTTTCCAACAAAACAAAACAGAACAGAATCCTCTATTCGTTATCTTCGCATTGCAGCTCCATCGTTGAAGGAGATTTTCATCGGTGCGTTCGTCAATGGGCACTATTGGGAATGGACAGACTATGGCAAACCTTTTTGCTACGAGAATTTCCGCGGTGACTTTCGTTATGGCAATAAGCTGACTTGCTTTTGGATACAAGAAGTTTTGTGGAAAGTAGATGTGGCTATTACAACCCCTCCTTTGAAATTGGGAATCAAATATTTTTGTTTGGGATTTTGGAACTTTGAACTCGGGTTGAGCTCTCCAAAGCAGATCTCTCAAGAGAGTGTGTTCTTGGAAAATATTTTCGTTACAATAACATATGGTTTTTGCAAATTCCAGAAATAATATTAATGAAAATCAAAATCTAAGCTTTGCGTACTAGTAATTTTGCAGGAAAAGTCACGAACAGCTCGGATGATGTGAGTGCTATGATTTTGGCATCACAGAATTACGCTGAATGGAATGTTCTTTCAACTACATCAACTGTGCCTAATTCCTTTGCTTGTCAGGTGGGTGAAATTTCTCCTAACAACGATAAGTACATTTGGTTTATTACTTGCATTCGAATATATCTTTCACATCGCAAAAATAGGAATAATTTTGGAAACTAGAATAAGAGCAAGTTTTTGTTCGAAAGCTATTCATAAATCACTTCGTTCTACCCAAACTGCTGATTACCTGTCGAAATCTGGTACGGAACGCAAGTAATAGGAAATAATTATCTTCAATCGTAAAAGTTTGAGCTTTCACAAGCGGAGTTCTTGTTAGCAAACGCAGGCTTGTAGCGGTAGTACATAGTACAATTTCTAGGTGCCCAACTGTGCATTCACGGACAAACCAAGGATTGCCAAATATCTCCAAGGCTTTGGATACTATGACAGCAACACCACTTAGTAAGTTTTGTGTAGCTATAAAGATAACTGAATCTAGTATTAGGATGGAACGAAAGCCGTCGGGTATTCCATACATAATTCGATAACTTTTCAATTTCAAAATCTAAATGTACCTTGAAATTTGCAGAAGTTTCACGTTCTATAATTAGTTCAAACGCTAGATTCTGTACTACCCGTCATGAACGTAGCTTTTGGAGATGGCGTTTTAAATTGAACGATTTTGAGTTTGATGTTAGAAAATATAACCGCATTTCGTACGTCATTGTGATAGGCTCTGATTTCACAAGAAAACGCAAAAACTAAAAATTTGTGAAAACAGTTGCAGGAAGAACTTCGCCCAATGCTGCACTTTTTTTGCAAGAACACTGTTCGACGAATAAAGTCAGAGTATTTAATGTTAGCGATAGATCAAACTTCTGGTCTAAAATCATGTCTGAAGAAACTGTAGCAAAAAACAGATTTTTCTTCATGACATCTCCCAAATAATTTCTTCTATATCCTCAATAAATCAGTACTTTCGTGGTGAAATGTTTGCGAATTTTTAACCTTAAACAGCGGCCGTTCCTGGCATTCATCTCAAAGTCGCAGAATTTGAGAAGCCAAGTAGAAAGGCTCGTTGTCGACGGTTAGCTATAGAATCTTGTACTCGAATATTTATTAGGAGCAAAAACTCTTTATAAAGTTTAGGAAATAAAACAGTAGTTTTGTTTTCAGATTCTGAAAGTCATCGATCTTCGTTTGAAGTACTCGAAAACTTTCGTTCCAACTAGATATATTTCGGTCTGCGGAGTCTTTTACTAGGAAAATCTTCAAGAAGTGAAAATATAATTCCAACAATCATAAGATTCGTATAAAAGATATGATACCAAAGTGATAAGTTATGTGTTCGCTTCTTCGATAATTTGAACTACACTTTTTTGTATAATTTTTATAATGTCAAATTTCACAAACTTTCGCATTCTTGCTCCCCTAGTGTATCAACGCTCATCACTTAGGTAAGTGTATCGATACCGAAAAAAACATAGAATTGTAACAATTTGTTCTACTCTTGACTTCAGTGTTTACTTCGGAACAGTGGCGAACCAAGAAGATTTCGCGGACGCTGAAGATGAATGTATGAGAATTGGCGGGCATCTACCTTCCATATCCAACGCTTTCGAGAACGCTGTAGTACAAAACGCTGTTCAGAGTGGGTCATCCAGCTCTCATTACTTACAAGGGAATGGTCAGAAATCAAAGTGGCCGATTCAAGCAGGCTGCATACCATCAGATGCAGCATAAATCGCTGACTCCAAATCTGTCTTCCTTGTCTGCAGGATGAATTTTGTGGATGAATTATAAGCCGTTAAAGGCCGTTATTTTGCTAAGAAATTGTGTGTAAAATGCGAACTTGGCCGTTCAGAGCCATTCCTGGCTCAGCTCTAGACCAAAACATGCAGCTAGATCACTTCATATGGCCAGTACCCAAAGGTGAGCGAGAAGGGCAATAACGAGCCTAATCTCGCAATTTTTTTGCGTACGACTTCTTTGCACCAAATAAATCGCTGACTCCAAATCTGTCTTGCACAGGTATCACAGGTATCATCTTTTGGACAATTTGCACCAAAGCTGGTCATAGCTTCGCTTACAAAGGCGCTTTGCAATTATGGAAGAACAGATTCGAAATCAGTTTCGAAGTTGCAACGAATGGTCTGCAGTTTTGTATTGGCCACTTTGACTTCTGACCATTCCCTTGTTAGAAGAAAATTGAAATGTAATGATTACATCACAGAGCAGCTCGGGACCAACTTTGGCGGCAAAATAATCATTGGCTACTCCAACTTGATTAATAAGGGCTTTTCATGGAGTGACGGCAATCCTTCAACATACACAAACTGGGCACCGGGAGGTATCATCTTTGTCGCTTCGACTTTGCGTCCCATAGTTTTATTCTATTCAGAGCCTGTGACAGCAGTTGTTGGAGTGGCATGGATGGATTTCCTTACCGGATGGTGGAACACTGCTGCACCATTTGCCACTAGTCACTTCATTTGCGCGCTCCCTTCCTATAGAATAAGTTGTTAAAAAGTATTTGAACAGTTCCAGAGTTGTAATAAGCTGCTGCATAAGTTTTGTCCGATCTTTTTTGCCTTATGTTTGAAGCGGCTGTGCAAGAGAATTTCACCAATAATGCGATATTGTTTATGTCGTTAGAAAGCGCTTTTCTTGCTTTTTCTAACACATACAATTTCGATAAACTTATCAGTTTAACGAATTTACGGGTCTACGATCCCAAAGCGGCCGAGATACGTTCTCACCCAAGAAATATGCTCTTGCGAGAAAATCTCTACAATGCGCCAATCGTGTCAAGTCCTTTCTTTAGTTGCAGAATAAGGGTGTAACAGGCTAGTATATGCACAAGCTTAATTTCATGAAGAAAACGTCTTGCTAGAAAAATTTGTTGTCGAGCATTATTTTCTTGTATAAATGTTCTACAAGTAACTTTTTGCAAATAGATGCGATTGATGTGTCCAAAGCTGGAGATGCTAGGGTAAAGCAAAAGCTAGCAAAACCCATCCCCGATGCCTTTTCACCGCTCGTACCTAGCTAAAAATTTCCTTAATTCGTAAGTAGGCATGCACTCATGTTCCAAAGCAAGGTCAAGAAGCGGCTTCTTTTTTGTTCGGTCGAAGATAAGTCTCTCCGGGGACTCTACGGGCTCTTTTAGGCTGCAAAATAATCTACGAAAATTCTTCTGTCTATCCATGGTTAACTAATATGCCTCTCATTTCTCATAAGGGGGCATAGCCTTGTTAAAAAAATAGGTTAGAATAAGAAGGCCGTGAAGTTTTTGGGTTCTTGCTTCTTTTCTAAGCGGTTTTCCGCAAGTTTTAATATTCCTTTGATAGCCAAAAAACTGCACAACACAATGAAACTAAGAACATGAAAAAAGGTGACTCTGAAAAAATCTATGACAATTTGATTTTGAAATCCAATTCAGACAGAACTTATGCAGCAACCTGATACTTCTGCGAATACAAAATAGATCTACATACATAAACCCTTCGAACAGCTCCAGAACGCTGAATGTTGCTCCCTATTCTCTAGGAATTAATGGCTACCGCTACATCCTAATTTATTCGTAGACCTAGCTAGGACAAGTCTTTAAATATAAGTGCCTGAGAAAAAATTATATTTAATTTTTATAATGAGATCGCGGATATATTTGTACATTTATCAGCATTTCCAAAGTGATTGTTTGACAAATCATTCATTTGATTCATAACTGAGCGTAAGATTTTTACAAAATCATTCGCTATCAAAGGATTATTCTGCGTCCAATTCCATCAAATTTAAGGTAGGAATACTTATCAGGCAGTATCTGTTGATTCCAAAGATCAGTGCGCTTTGAAAGCTAGGTACCGTACTTATGATTATGCCGTCTGATGCAGGAAATGCTGTTGCTCGACTTCATGACTAGTATGGGCTATAAAATCGTCGGCATCACTATTTCGAGGATTCTCATTGATTTACCTCATTTTTTCAAGTTGTACAAAGCTGAGAGAAAAGTAAAAACATTTTTTCCCTATCTAACCAACAAAGGTGATATTGAGCAAGCAAAAATGTCGTTTGACCTACTGCTTTGTATTTTTTGATAGACTAATAGAAATGATTCCGATAGACATCTAAATGATATATTGAAGATTTTGCCTGATTTCTGGCAAGGCTTCGCGACGAGCGTGAAGCAAGTAATTCCATAAAATGGCACTTTCTTAATAGCAGATGAAATCTATTTTGCTTCTTTAATGTATTAGGTTGTTGAAAATAATGTCGCATTGCATCCTACCGCGACAGAATGACCATACAAAACAGCGAATGGGGTATCATTTGATAGAGCAAAGAAAGTCCTACAAGATAGTTTACAAACCTCCGCGGAAACCGTGCTCCACCTAAAGTTCGAATCCAAGATATAAAAATTTCTGGATGTCCGAAAAAAGTATCTCCGTTCATAGACGTTTTATGGATCTTCAATTTGCACAGGCATGTACTCTCTAAACTAGACATTTCACCTGTATAGTTTGTGATATTTTTTCATGATACAGTACGAGAAATAAGATTAGGTCAAAAGTGCAAATACGTCACGTTTTTCTGGTTTTTTGCAAACAATCTTATTTTTCGCGAAAACTAGCGCTTGTCTAAAGCTGAAAACACATGATTATATTGCTAAATGTTCATACTATAGAATCACCCATGTGAGAGAAGCACAGGATTGTTTTGGCAAAAATGCCGAATTTCATTTTCTCAGTTTTCACCCATGGAAAAACCGCGAAAATGTGCATACGTGTGTTCCGTATAGTGAGTTCATGCGTGAGCAAGTTAGGGGTTTCCAGGATTTTCTGAACGGAGATACGATTTTTTTTCGTTTTTTTTAGATCTTCAGTGCCTTATGTAATCCGGCTCCAAACTTCACGCAAATCAAACCTGGCGCAAAGGTTTGAACTTTATTTTGTAGAGCTTGCTCTGATCTATCGGCCAGTACCCCACCTTAATTTCGTGCGCACCCTGCTGCGATATCGCATGTTAAAATACGATGCGACATTATTTTCCGGACAACCTAACATTTGTAAAATTGAACTCTAGCAACCAGGAGTTTCTCAAGCTTTTGTTTACTTCTCGATGCAAGTGTTTTGCTAAAAGAGTCATTAATCCTTGCCTCATTTATCACCATGGCACGATCGTCAAATGTCGCATACATTAGCAAATTAAGTAACGCACCTAACTTAGTAGCATCGCGAACGTTCGGTACGGGAACACACTTATTAGCTGACCTCTAATATAACTACCAGATTTCCTTACAGTCTTATAAAGTAAAATCTTTTCTTGTTCTCAGTTCGGGAAATGCTTCTTATAGAATTCCGTCAATTTATTGAGAAACGTTTTCTACGAGAATTTGGCTAAGATTATTACGAAAAGCGGTAAAATTAGGAATACTCTGTTAGAATCACAGTTTGAATGATGTGTCGTCGAGTCGTCCTAACCTAATGTGCCGCAGACTACTCGCTACATCACACTCCTTATGTTTTTTATACGTCGCATTTTCTGGATTTCCCACTCTACTTCTGAAGTTTTGTGCATGGGTAGACTCAAGTAAATACATCTCTTGTCGGGTCGCTGCAATAAAACGTTTAACTAACAAAGATTGAGACTGTGGAACTTGCAGGTTGTCTGCAAGATCTTATATTGAGTTATAAATGACTCGAGGAAAACTTTACATTCGTACTTTGAGATGGTTTTCCTGTCGCAATCATAATGTCATCTATTCAGAAGCCTCTTGTTGAGGCAAGAATTAGGTCTATAGCTCTTCTACTGATTTTTGAGGGGTCCAATAAAGAAGTATGTTGTTAAAAATACTTTTAGCATTGCAGCTCAAAACGTTTCATTGCCTTCCTGATAAAGATCCGACTTAGCGCAAATTAGCGCTTTTTGAATTTCGCATGCTACCATGCTAGCTACTTACTATCCACAATTTTTTGGACCTCATCATTTCACTCCATAAACCGATCCAGAAATTCAGGATTTTCAAAATTATAAAGTCCTGCATCTTTTACAACTTGAGTTTCAGGAAAGTTGGGCTCAAATTTTGACGGCACTAACTGTATTAAGCTTAAACACCACATAAAAAGTTTAGCCTTATTGGTTGAGTTTAAGGCCCGTTTTGAATATCGGGCAAAACTTGCATATAGAGCAAAAGTGGAGAGGAAGAAGAGTTTATTAGATTCGTCGGCAAAATTCAGCCCATATACAGGGTGTCCCAAAAAATGTATCGAACGTTTGATCGTTAATATCTCTCTTCCCAAGAAGTCTTTTGCCTTGCTTCAGGTACCGTTTTGTAGAGCTGGCTTCAACTTAGATTTGCATTATAGAACAAAGCACCCATCTCTCTTCATTTCTGTAGGATTACGGTAGAAACTTGAAACATATGGTGTCAATGTGGAAAAAGCTGCCGTTTCAAAATTTTTCAAGACAATGTGAAAACTTGTGTAACAGGGTTTTTATGGACGCTGAGTTCAATACTCAAATATTCACAAGATTACGAAGCTTTTTAGACGGTGCAACTGCACTTTTTAAGAACATTGAAAAAATGGCCGCCACCTCTTACCTGGCATAACTCTTCAACGAAGCATCATAATGAGTTGGGAACTTTACAGTTATAATCAGCCACTCTAATTAGCCTAGTGTAAAAGCTTTCAGGCGGTTTTGTTTCCTTTCTGAGGCAAAATGCCTTTAATTGCTCAAAACCCTCTTTGAAGTTTCTACCGTAATCCTACAGTAATGAAGAGGAATGAGTGATTCGTTCTATAATGCAAATCTAAGTTGAAGCCAGCTTTACAGATTGGTACCTGAAGCAAAAGAAAAGACTTCTTTAGAAGGGAGATATTAACGATCAAACGTTCGATACATTTTTTGGGGCACCCTGTATATTCTTTTTTTTTCTCCAAATTGATTTAGAAAGCTTTAATTTTCCACAAAAGCGTAAGCCCAGGATTTTGGTCCTTCTTGACCCAAAAGAAGTATAGTCAAAAGGAATGGAACAGCAGCAGTAAATGTCAGCGTTTTCTGAGATCATAGGCAAAGTCAAGCGGATGATTTATCACATGCTCCAGATATCGAATAAGTCATCTTAGCTATGCAATGAATGGAAGAAGAATAATTGCGACCAAGCCCTTCAAGAAGCCATTCGATGCTATACTTCTCTGTCGAATCTTAATTGCGAATGACGCACTTGTGCAAATATTCACTGCAATTATCAAAATGTAAGGAGGAGTGTAACGCCCAATAAATCACATAGATGCGCTTCTGAGGCAAAGATTTTGTGCTATTGCTTTCTTCATAATTTCTCATGGTCGTCCTTTGAATTTGATGTTTACAAAAGTAATCGAGGCCAGAGTTCATAGAAAGGCATAAAAGTTGTCGAATTATGATGAAATTGTAGTTTTTTAGTATCACTTAATTTATTTTCTGTGTCTGTTTCGATATTTTGCTTTCTTCGAAGTACCTTGGGTAGTAAGTGAATGCCGCTTGTACTAA